GAGATTAGAGGGCAGCCTGCATATGGCAAGATTGATTTGTCAGAGTTGAAAACCCCTACAAAAAGTCAAATTTGTAACACAAGAGGAAAAATAATGCATTACTGTATTACAGTGACAAATAGTTTACCTGAATAAATGTTGTGCACTAAAAGCATTTTCAGCTTCTAACTAAAACACATTCACAAAGACAAACTATTTTATTGTAGCTTTACTATGTAGTAGGTACAGACAAAGAAATTACTTTCTACTGTAAAACTTCGCAGTTTTTGGCATAACTGCCTTTCCTTCAAAAGCTATACTTGACTTCTCAATCTTTTGAAAACTTAGCTTAAAATAAAGTAATAGAACCATAACGCTAACATGTTAAAAATCTCTGATATTGTTTCCATCACCACAAAACTGACAATTTCTTGGCATATTAGAAACAAAATTAAAACTGGCATTTCAAAATTAGATTTTTCTAAACCTACCAGACTTAACTAACTTAAAATCTCTGAAACAGTCAAGCAGTACACATACCAGCAATTGGAATATTCTGTGATATTGACAGCTGTACATCTCCAGTCCCAGGCGGCATGTCAATTACTAAATAGTCCAGTTGACCCCAGTCAACCTAGAAGACAACAATAAAAATGTCTGTGGAGATTTGAAGTGGTTTTATTTAAAGTACCTTGTGTTTTAGTGCAGTCCTTGTTTCCTATAATGTAAAACAAGTGAGCCAAGGACAGCTCAAAAAACTGGTAACTGAGATGCCCTTTCAGTCCCACTTTCAGCACAGAATGAAGACATTATTTTTCTAAGAGTCACAATCTTGATCACTCAAAACTATGAGTGCAACTTTATTATTAACTTCATTGGCATAATTCTTATTCAACTATTCCCCCCTCCCCCCAAAAAGGTTGCAAGAGTTTATTTAAGATTTTTAATATAAGACTTTTACTTTGCAGCTGCTTAATCACAGGTTAAAAGGATATGTTAGGTAAAATCCAGGCTAAAAACCAGGCATTTGTGCAACAAATATGGCTTAGGAATTGTTTCCAGTAATTTAAAACCACTTTTGCTTCCTTCTTATCACTTGTTGAAACTACATATAAATACTTAGCTGCTTTTTTTCTGTTTTGTTGTTACAAAGTGAGAGCTATCAGTACTGATTTTTTACAAGGAAAAAGAAGTGTTGGGAGAAAAGATAAAAACAAAGAAACAAAACACCCCAGATTTCTTAAATGAAAATCACTAGACATAATTATACAAACTTGTAAGACAACACAAAATAAAAAAGCTAGACATCAAATGAGAACAACCATTGAAGATAATAGGCTCAAATATAAGAATGTTGTGATTGCTTACATCCTTTACTAGGACAGATTTCCAGAAGAGCCAAGTAACACTCTCTAGAACAGGGTGCACCGTAATAAATGTTCCCTTCAGGAGAATAGAAATGGTCCTAGGCCTACTCTTACGGAGTAAAGCCCAGCTATACTTTGCCTAAACATTTTGCAACAGTTTAACTAAGCTTCAGAAGATTCTCAATTCAATTCTGACGTGGTGCAGATTAGTACCAGTGCAGTCTTACTAACCAGCAGTAACATATAAGGTCTTTTGTCACTACATTACAGAAGCTGAAATCATAATCACGTTTGAAATAAAGACCCACAAAATGTCTCTCCCTCATTTTTCTCTCCACACAGACATAATACAAGTATTTGGTACTTCTGATTCATACAACACACATAAGATATAACCATATAAACTGCCCTAACACAGGAAAATGCCAAAAAAGAGCATTGTATTTTACACATTCCCTCAGTGCCATTTCAACAGCAAAAACCATTTTGTCAGTCCCCTAGTTACTCTCATGTGCACTCCAGTGAGAAATGGAATTTTTTAAGGCAGACTGATGAAGATGGAAGGTTTCAGAGCACTCATGAGAGAAGGGGGATGGGGAAGGTTAGCTGCAAATTTTAACTTAAGATGTCTAAATTAGGGACTCTCAGGCACACCTCCCGTTCCTCATTTCTATACAAAGGCTGCAGGAACACTAAATGATGCCTATGACAGTCTAGCTAAACAGGAAATGCCACTTATGTTAACCATAGCAAACACTGCACTTTACTTTTTCACATTTAATATTGATCTATATAATCTATAATATCTATATTTTACCAACAAAAATTACATATGCCTAGCAGATTTCTAAAAGCAATTAGCATTCATGAGCACATCGAGACTATATAATCCCAAAGAAAAATTACATATATGTGCAAAAATATACATACTGAAACATAAACATGGGGTGAAGAAGCCAGTTTGTCTAAAAAACAAAAGTCTGGTTTTTACTTTGGTGTTCTTAACTAATCTTGCTTAGTTATAACACCAGATAATTGACGATGATGAATGCCTTCTTTCCCACTAAAAATTACTTTGCTTACTTGAAGGCATGTACTTCAAATTTCTATATCTCTTAATTAAACATTAATCATTATAAAGGTGACAAATTTAAATTACATAGATGTTCTAAAGTAGCCATTTACAACACAAGTAAAACCAGTTCCTTGAAGATCCACAACTAAACACGCAGATCTTCTGTAAGCAAAGTGCACAAATCTCAATATGCAAAACCAAATCTTTTGTAATCACAGAATTTAAGGGTTGGAATGGACCTTAGAGATCATCCAGTCCTAACCCCCCCCTGCCATGGGAAGGGACATCTCCTCACTAGACCAAGTTGCTCAAGGCTCCATCCTGCCTGGCCTTGAACACCACCAGGGTCGGGGCAGCACAGTGTCTTACCATCCTCACAGTAAAAAACTGTTTTCTAATATTTAACCTAAACTTCCCCTCCTTCAGTTTGAATCCATTACCCCTTGTCTTATCATTGCAATTGCAGTTCCTAACAAAGAGTCTCTCTCTGGCTCCCTTGTAGGCCCTTCAGATATTAAAAAGTTGCTATGAGGTCCCACGCAGTCTTGTCCGGGCTGAACAGCCCCAACTTCCTC